GGATGATTGCGATTGTTCGACTGACTTGTTAAAACTGAGTCACCCTGCGCGACTTTGCTACAAGAACATTCGCACACACACACACACACTCACATTGACAGAAACAAGTTGAAGAAGCCAGAATGTTTCCCATACAGATGCGCGAGTCAGTCAGGCAGTCAGGCAGTCAGTTAGTTGGCCAGGTGTAGGTTTGCTTTATATCAATCGCCAGTTGAGCTGACAAACAAATTGTGGCGTCATTGGCTCACACAACAACACCTTAAACAAATCCGCAAAACTCGTGGGGGCCAGCTGGAGCAGCCGGCTCTGGTCAAAAATCGAAAAAAAAAATGGAAGAACGTCAAAAGCGTTGATCGCCGATTGCCCGACTGGCGCCCACAAACATCCGCTGCATGAATCAGTTTTAGTATTATATTGCTGCACCACCACACTAATGCTGGACAGCCTCCACAGAGACACGCATGCACATACGCACATATATGGAGTGGCCTGGTATGCTGCAGATCAGACCGGAAGTATGCCAGTTTAATGCGCTTTATGTGCATGTGTATGTATGTGTGTGAGAGAGAGAGAGAGATATCTCGTTCATATATCGTGCTTTTTTAGGTTCTTAATCCCTTTGGCGTTACTTTAGGTCAGTTACTAATACGATAATGCCACATGGGGCAAGTGAATAGCTATGCGAGCTATACCAGATATCACTCTTCATACTATGACTAATTTTAGACTCGAGAAATTAAAAGTAAACTGTGCGCACACTAATCAGTATATAGATTATAGAGCTCATGTAATTCCAAGGATGAGCACATTAAACTATTTTTATAGATTGTTGTAATTGCTGCCTTAATTAATCATATAACACATTAAGCAATTACTATTGAGCTTTAGAAATAGAAAGTTTTCAGAATGTGAATTAATATAAGTAAACATATGAATATTATGATTAAATATACATATTAATATATTGAATATAAATCATTTTAATAGGATTTTTATAATATAATACTGGATACTATAAATCTTTACTAACTTGTCCAATAGACTGGTTCCTTAGCTGATTTATACCTTCGATCTTCACTCATTTTTCTCTCTCCCTCTCTATTAGAAAGGTCACAAATAGATCAATTCCATGGCTGAATTGAAAATCTGATCTTCACTGACTTCTAAAACAAATTAGTTCCGAAAGATCTTTTACCAATGCAGAACCATTTGTTGGCCAACCTTCTCTTAATTAAATGCCTCTAACTGACTATATGGTTAATCCAACTTGACGAATGGCAATCAAAATAAATGATCATTGATATTGAACATATCATTGTTGGCAACTGCGTATAATTTTTCGCTAAGACGCATTTATTTTCTTTGCGTTCCTAGAATTCCTTGTCAGACTTGGACCTATTTTTAGGTGGATGGGATCATACTAGAAAGATTCACTCTCGTTCCACTTCTTTAGTCAAGGAAAAATTATTGTAAGCATTACGTTCGAGTTCCCAGAATTTAATAGCCCGAGAACACAATGCGTAAATCACAAAAATTCACCTTCAACTTTGGTCGATATAATTAATTGGCCGATCCTATACCATATAACAATACATAGCTGACTAAGTCGTGGCAGCGATAAATGCCCGAAAGAGCTTAGTCAGTCAGCTATTGTATTCCTTTAGCATAACTCAATGACAATGACAATGGCAATGGCAATAGCATTTTAGCCATATTCATTGATAAACTAGTTCGCATTGTCTACAACGGATTTGGTTAGAGTTCGGTCAGTGACGTCATAGCTCAATGAAATCTGGTTATGCATCGAAATGAATATCAATTTGCGCATACGCAATTGCCGATATATCGGCCAATTAAAGTTCAGTTTTTCTGGTGGCCGGCGAAAATCGAGCAGGTGAGTCACACAGAGCTAACGCATTAGTCAGCCAAATCGGCTATCGGCCAGGTAAAATTCAGAACTAGTTAGACAAACACAAAGCAAGAAAAACCAAAAAAAAAAGAAAACTGCTATCGCCGTTATCTGTTCGCTGGCTGAGCTACTTTGGGGCGCGTCCAGGGACGCACCCCTGTACGGGCTGACCTTGTGGGCGTTGTTTTCAACTTTTTTTCTCCTTTTTTTTTGGAGCGTCAAGGCCATGACATAGACTGCACTTTGATGTTGCCAGGTCGCGTAATTTATACCGCAGGGCTTACCTAATTTTCAATTTTCTCTCAACTTGTTTCCAAGTCCCACGCGTTATTTTTTTTTTTTTTTGCTTTTGCCCAGCTTCTATTTCCAGGCATGTCGCAGGCTCGCAGAGCCCATGGCTCCCTAGCGCCCCAGCCGTCGCCCCCTTTAGTGAAAACGCGTGGGCCGTGAAGCGCAAGTGGGCGGGCCGGGATGGGCCACGAAGGGGGTTCGTTCGAGGGCGCTTTGCTGTATTTGCCTTTTGCGTGGGATTTTCATTCATGAAAATATCTGCTTCGAGTCACACTTTTGCAGCTGTCGCCATTGCCTTCACCGTTGGGTACATAAAAAGCACGTTGTGCTGTGTACGTGTGCGTGTGTGTGTGTGTGAGAGAGAGAGAGAGAGAGAGAGAGTGCCCATATACATATACACATAAGCTTGGGCCACAAGTTCGAATCGTCGCTTTGCCGCTCTGCCTCCCTTTAGCAAGGCAGCGCCTGCGCTTTGGCGTCTGCTTCAGTTGTGTGTGTGTGTGTGTGTGCGTGTTGGGGGCTCTGTCGCTTGGGGCCGCTTTTGGAGAAATTTTCTGCACGCGCATAGGCATATCCTTGAAATACTGAAGCTTGTGTCATGTTTGTTGCCGTTGTTGTTGCTGCTGTTGCTGCCTTTTTGCAAATATCAGGGTCACGGTTATAAATTTAAACATTCTGCTAGTCTCCAAAAACGACCCTGTTGGCAACCGATGTCCTTGCGGACATTGTGTGCGTGCATGTATGCGTGTGTATGTGTGCTTCTTCGACTGTGTGTGTGTGTGTGCGAGAGAGACTTAGCTGAATATTTCGACTTCATTGATGAGTTTTTGGGCGCTGTTCAACTGTTCCATAGTCTATCAACCACTCGAAGTCTGTTAACCGCCCCGCTCAACATTTACGCAGTTGAGCTTCCACTTAACTCAGCCAGTTACAACGCCACTCCGCCAACCCCCTACCCCACCCAGCTTTTACTAATGCTCCAATGGGTTCGCATTCATAAGCATTCGCTGGAGTGTAGATTCAATACATCTGTATATATTGTATATGTATCTAAATACTTCTGCACATTCATATAAAACATATATAAATGATTTCTATATAACAACACAGCTTGCGGATACACACACACACACACACACACACAGGCACAATGCACACTCTGAGACATATATTAGGCAGCTAGTTTGCTGGGAACTCAATGAATCAACACACGCATTCAACGCATACCAATGCACAAAAAAATATCAATGAACTTTACACAAAACTTATGAGCGTGTGCTATGCGCACATGCGAGGTTTCTGTTGGTGTTGTGGGAGAGTCAGAGCAAGAGCGAAGCAAACAAAATAAGTGAGAGCGAGAGAGAGAGTGAGGCTGTAAAGTAAGCGGAGAGCGGAAAACAGAACCTGTAAAGAGGTAGGTGAGAAATTTGATGAGTATTATATTATTGGTTATAAGAATGAATAGTTCGACCATCTATTAATAATAATCATCATTTCTGCAGCTATATAAAAGTATTTACTGCAATTTAAATATATTTCTTGACTAAATAAACTTATTGCACCAATCTGTAAGTCATATCCAATTTCCTAGCGGGCTCACTGTGCAAACTCACCTTCTGCAGCTCTCTGCCACGCGCTCTCTCTTTCTCGTTCCATGCGTTTGTGTGTGTGTGGGTGCTATCGTTCTCTCAGTTTTCAATGCTTTCAATGCTCTAACACAGTAAGAAATTTAGAATTAGTTAGTTATTTTACTTAAGCGACATTTTATGATTATGAATTGTTCTTAAATTATGCTAAAGAAGAAATTAATTTGTTCAACAACAATATTGCATCATGACAAATTTCAATAATTGTTTTAATATCACATTCCCTTATCGTGATATTGTTAGTAGGTATATCGTCTTGGACCTGACTGCTGGGTACTGGAGACCAGTTTTCGCGCTCAGTGTTTCTTAACAGACTCGACAAGTACAAAATTGAATTTAACAGTGAGAGAAAACACCTCGCAGAGCAACCTGAACTAACATGTGCGGTAAAATGACTAACGAAATCGAGTAGCGAGAGAGAGAGAGAGAGCCCGCGAGAGCGAGCCAACAGTACAGAAGAGTGCAACAGGAGAATAACATTTTCTCAACAGCATGTTAGTGGAATGCTTAACAGTCTGCTTGCTGCAATAGCAAGCTGTAAACAATTTTTTCGTTTACTTTTTCATTCTTTCAGCGTATCTGTATCTTGTCGCTTGTAGCCCGCTCGCACGGTGTTCGGTGTTCGGTCAGTGCGCGTTTTTTAGGCTCTGTTTATTTCATTTGCTCAAACTCAACTTCGACATACACATACAACTACAGTAATACATACACGGTAGTGATTTGGCGGGCTTGTGTGCGTGCGAATGGGGGCCTACAACAAAACATAATAAAAGAATTGAAGTGCGATACAAAAGCACAATAAAAAAATAAACGAAGTGTAAAGAAAATATCAAGCAACTAAAAAACAAAACAAATTGCAAGTGTAGTATTATTAAATGCTTTCAGGAGAAACAACAGAAAAGCGTTTGGAAAAATTGTATACAAAACGTAGCTGGAAAAAGATTTCATTGTAAAAATTGTGTTTCGTTGGTTGCTTGCGTGCGCGCGTATATGATTGTGTGTACGTGTATGTGAATGTGTGTGTCTGTTTTTTTTTTTGTAAGAGCGAGAAGCACAACACAAAAAGGAAAGCAGAAGCAGCAGAAATACAAAAAAATGTGCGCCAGGCAAATGAACCAGCAGCAGCAGATGATGTAAACTTTTTGTTGTTGTAAAGTTGGTGAAAAGGTTATCGAAAAAGAAACGAAAGCGAAATAAATAAAGGAGAAAAAACAACAACAAACTAGAAACGCTTTATTGAGAGTGTTAGTGTGAGAGTGCATTTGCGAGAGCTTTTCAAGATGCCGGAAACGGAGTACGAATGCTGCAGCAAAGAGTGGCTCCAATCGGAGCTGAGAGCCAGCTGCGACCCAGCCAAAAAGCTGATCATACTCGACTGTCGCGCCTCTCAGGAGTACAGTGAGTCGCATATCCGAAGCGCCGTTAACTTCAGCATACCGAGCATAATGTTGCGTCGTCTGGCCGCTGGCAAGATCGACTTGCCATCCACAATTAAGTCGCAGGAGCTCAAGGAGCGCATACAGGCGGGCTACAAACTCAGCCCCTTCATTCTCTACAACGATGTGGGCGTGTCGCCCCAACAACAACAACAACAACCAGCTCAAGATGTGGCTGGAGCTTTTGCAATGTATGGAAATGGCAACGATGCCACGATCAATGTGCTCTATCGCCGCCTCAAGCAGGACGGATGTCGCGTGCTCTCGCTGCGAGGTGAGTTTCATGAGTCAATCATAAATAAACACATACATATATGAATAAATAAGAAATTCCATAAGTCAATAATAAATAAATAAATAACTACAAATATAAAGAATTCAAAAGGAATTTATAAACCTCGCTGCGAGGTGAGATCCATGAGTAAATCATGATAAAATTAAACAAAATAAATAAATAATTGCTGCATTCCATAGCATAGGCAAAAAGTATTTCAACAATCTTACGCACACGAAAAAAAAAATATACAAAAATTTTACTCATTTGTTTTATTTTCGTAGCACGGCATTTTTAGCACGAAAAATAAACGCAAAATCAAAACAAAAACTACAACAAAAGCAAACAGAAGCATAAATAAATATAAAACAAATCATAATATTGCATATAACAAGCCATAAATAAACATTTGCTGCTCGGCATTATGTATTATTAAAAATGTTATTATTAGTACGAAGGCACAGAAATAACAATAGAAGAGAAAAATGCTCGAGCGTGATATACCCTGTATAAAGTCTTCAAGTTGTTCTAAGTAGATTATGAATACGAAAGGATTCTGTGGATTGATTATATTACTGGATTATATAACTTTTATCCTTATATAGCTACAAAACCAATATACTCTTCAGTCACTTTTTTGCATTTTATGCAGCCAAATATACAAAATATATATATTTTAATTGAATAGCATCGCCTTTATAAGGTGTGTTCGATGTTGATAAGCGTAATGCCGTTTCTAAGAATAGATTCAACAGGCAGACAGCCAGATTAATGTATATATGCATATGAATATACACATACATACATACATAGATAGTTTTGAACGATCTGCCAAATAGCTTTTGAAATACTTAATGTGGCGCCTATAGAAGATAATGTATGTGATGATGCTTTGAACTTGTTTGGCTGGCCAAGTTCCATGTCTGACACTTTTGATTGATTTTGACTTGATTAAAATGAATAAAAAATATATAAGTGTTTATATAGATGACTGTTGAATATATTATTATACATATGTATATAATATCACACCGATGCGACATAAGTGAATAATTTAAACAATAAATTTCTCATTCAAAAAACCATTCATCATATTTACCTTATTATTCATTGGTTTTATTTAAATTCATATAAATCTTATAAGCTATTTATTTGTATCTGTGTATAGAAAAATGCACTCTATATATATATATATGTATATAAAATATATTTAAATTGCATTAATTCATTAAATAATATGTAAATAAAATATTTATGTTTTGCTTAATTTAAATTCCAAGAAACACAATTAATTTTCTGAGGAATCTCTATTATATTATTTTATTTACATATGTACATATAGATATATAGGAATACATATATAATTATCTGACTAGTTGCTGTTGCTTCTGCTGATGCTGCTTGACTCTAGCTTCATATATATTTTTATCACTTCAATTTCCGCTCGCTTACAAGCGCCCAAATATACATATGTACATGTGTATGGGTGTGTGTGTGTTCTCCTTCCGTTGCCAGCTGTCTCAATGTTCCCATTTCCCTCGTCCCTCTTCTCAGTATCTCTATCTCTTTCTCTTGCATTCTGTGTAAAAGCTTGTCGTAGCTGACGTACGCACGTTCCATTCAGCGTGTGCTAATATCGCAAATTGACAATAGGGCGTCAATAAATGGACCGGTCGGCGTCTGCTCCCGAATTTGTTTTTTTTTTTTTTTTAAGTCTCCGTCTAGTTCTTCGTGCCATTGTTTATTCGTTTCATTTCATGAAAATAGAACTTGAAACACTCGGCGGCTGCTAAATTAGCATAAGATAAGGTCATCAAGCGGAAGAAGAAGAGACAGAGACCGTGACGTCAGTTGCTCTGTTGCTGTCGAATCCTGTGCCTACCTGTGCTACAGGTAAATTTTGACCAGCATTTGGGACAACACAACAGCGAACGAGTGTTAAGCAGATCAGTTTTACGACTGGAAAATACATCGAACTGGAAAATCCTCATTTGACATTTTGTGTAAAATTCTGGCACCTTTCGGTTCATTAAAAAGGACACCTCAAGTGTCGCCCATTGTCGGGCTCTGCTAATGATGCCAGCTAAATAATAAATGCTAAATGAATTTCTAGGCCCTGCTGAATGGAATTGGAATGAATCGCCTTAGTGTTCGTTTGGTTTATTTTATGCCCCCGATGATAAGCGCGATTTGTATTGTAAAACTTTCGTGCTCTCTCATTCCCAATATCATTCCCGATGCCACTTGGCCCAGTTCCAAAATGTGTTGGTGGTCTTATCTTATCTGCCAGGGGCTTGAGTTCCCTTCCGTGGTGAATGCAAATGGCAAATGGTATTGTATACACATATACCGTTAGAGCTTGATTAAAATATCAGTAGGATATATGTATATATAGTGCATGCGAGATAATGAAATGATGGAACGGAAAGGGTGACCCATTCAAAGATAATCGAGGCATCATTAGTCAAATATAAAATATAATAGATTTGTATGCATATATAGGATAGTTATGAAAGGTAAATATTAGTAAAAACAAGAAACACCAAAAATTTCTATTTTCATATTAATTTTAATAATATTTTATTATTATATATCTTTTATAACTGTAATTTATAATGCTTAACGCGCTCTAAAAGAAAAAAGTACAAACTTTTTCCAATTACTGGAAGTTCTAACATTCCAACGCTCATTGGAAGCATTTACATAGCCTATAACAGCTGTTTTGTCCTTTTCGCACACATGCAGTAAAAGGCATAGCAACGTGAATAGAAGCGCTTTCTAGCTGTGACCAAGTTAGCAAACAGTTTAGCGTCCTGTTTGCCTGGGGGGATATAAACTGATTGTTTAGTTTCCTTTAAAGTTCAGACCGCTAATTGACCTTGAAATGCAATTAAATCGGGCTATTATGCGGCGCTCTCGTTATTCTCTTCCCCTCCCTCTCTCGCTTTTTGACAGGATTGTGTGCGGGGCGAGTTCATTATGGCAGCCGGATGCACTGTGCATTAATGCTGCTGCTGCTGCTGCAAAATTCATTTTAATTAAATGCCACTTTGTATGCATTTCTCGGAATTAAAACAATTAAGATAGGGGCCAAGTGTCACAGTTATGCGAAGAGAGCCAATGCTCGTCTGTCGGCATGTGCATGTGTGTGCGTGTCTGTGTGTGGGAGAGAGCGCAATTGTGCACATCAGTAGTCAAGTTTCGTAAACTAAGCGCTTCCGTTGCATGAAATTTAATTCAATTATATTTAGCAAAGTTTCAAACCCATCATCATTTACGCTCCTTTTGCGCTCACTCTTTCACTTCTGCTCCCGCTTGTTCTTTATCCCTCTCTCTCTCTCTATCGCTCTCCCACTTACTCACTCACTCGCCCTGGCCCTAGCAAACGTAAAGTCAACGAACGATGCGTTGCGGTCGTCTTCTCGCAGCCGCCGACGCTGACGCCGCTGCCACCGCCGCCACTTTTATTGGGGAGTTGGAAGTTGAGTTAAAATTATAGACAGCGGCGGCGGCGACGTCGGAGAACTTGTCTGACTCTTCTTCTTCTTGCTGTTTGAATTTTTTATAGCCATACGGATACAAAGCTGCTCCACTGTTCAGAGGCTGTGCCTAGTCAGAGTCTGTTGCGTCTGTCTGGCAGCGACTTCTCTCTGCTGCAGCGTCGACCCTTTTATAGAAATTGAACTCGGCTGCTGCGCGCATGCGCAGCGACGTCGCGTCGTTGCCATAAAAACAACTCTGTGGTATGCATTTCCACGCGTTGTCGTTGTTGCATTCGCATTTTCCCCAACAAGCTCGGCACTGCATGTATGTATATATACACACACATACATATAGAAATGCACATATACATATACACTTACACACATACATTTGTATTTTGCTGCTTGCGACTCATTGGAGAGTTGTTTGCCTGATTTGTGAACAAGTTGCTTTAATTTTGTTTTTGGGCCTAAGCAATTTTCACAAGTTTTCTACTCGCTTTCCACATACATACATACAACAACACGTGGCATCTTACAGCTCAACATAAATATACACACACTTACATATGTATGTGTATGAACATACACTTATTCTTATTCGGATATTCATTTTATTTCCAAGGCCGTCGCTTGCCTCATTACAATTTGATGATAGTTCATCAGAAGAAGCTGCGCTGCCTCCCTTCCAGCAAATTCGACAGCTCCTTCTCCTTCCCCTTATTATTCTTCCTCTTTTACTTGCAAGCTCCCAATAACAGCTTTCAACTGGACTGCCTTCACCGAAAAAAAATTGCCAGCAAAGCAGCTGCGGAGATTTTTAAGCTTTGAACTTGCCAGCAGGCAATTTTAACATGCACACATGCATGCATACATACATACATATTTATGTCCATATGTGTGTACGTGTTTGTGTATTCATTCAAATGCACTGTACTGTGTACAACAGAACCATAACATTATGTTGCATTTTTTAATCTTCTGTACACACTGTACATACATACATACATACATACATATGCAAATATGTTATGTATACATATAACAGAACCACAGCATTCTTTTGTATTTTTGAATCTCTACAAATATAAATCTCAGTGTCAACTAAATCAGATGTTTTTCGTTTAATTGTCACACTGTGCGGTTCGTCGGTTTTATTCGGTTGGTGTTGACACCAAACAACCACAAAAAACACTGCCCACGTGCAAAATGGACATGAACGTGTCCAGACAGCAGTTCAACGTTGGCGTCTTATTAAGCAATCACATACATACATACATAAAACACACACATGAGGGCAAGCCGGCAAGCACTCGAAAAAGCATTTGACAACGTTTTGGCGGAGTCTCGGGTGGACAGCTGGAACGGAACAGTTGGTTGGTCGAATTAGAAGCGGCCTACGGCTGCACGAAAACAGAGACAAACATTTTTCTGTTGTTGGTGTTGCCGCCGGATTTGGGTCAAAGTTTGTGTGGGTTTTAATTAAACAGCCGCCTAACGGCGAGACCCACATTGAAT